CTTTTTCCTCTTCTTCTTCTTCTTCTTCTTCTTCTTCTTCACCACTATCAGCATTAACTACAACATCTTCATCGTCGGGGCCAGTAGCTGTAGCAGCAGCAGCAGCTGTATCATCGTTGTCGTCTCTATCATTACCATCATTTTTACTTTCATCATCATCCCCATCATCAGCATTCATCTCTTCTACATCATCACCGTCAGTACCTGGCACAACAAAATTGTATACTTTGGTTAACGAAGGGACAAAAATACGCAACAACGTCAACAAAAACGACAACAACAAAAACGACAACATCAACATCAACAACAACATTATCAACAACAACATCAACAAAAACAACAACATCAACATCAACTCTGTCAATCGGTCCATATGGAAACCGTATACAATGGCGATGTTTTCAGACAACTACAACAACAACAACAACAATAATAATAATAACTACCAAAATAATCGTAACTCAAATGAGATAATCTATAAAAACAATTCTTCTTATAAAGATTATAGCAGCAACAACATTAACAACAACAACAACAAAAATAACAACAACAACAACAATAATAATAATAATAATAACGGAGACTCCGATAGCATATACGACGAATACGACAACAATAACAATAATAATATGATTAATAATAATAATAATAAAAATATCGATAATAATAATAATAACACCAGTAATAATAACAACAGTAACAAGGGTGCCGTCCTAGGGGAAAATTATTTTAATAATAATAATAATAATAATAATAATAATAGTTATAATAGTTATAATAATAGTTATAATAATAATAATAATAATAATAACACTTCTTCCGTCGGTACGATCACTACAACGAATAATAGTAACAATACTAACATTGACGTTAATAACATTAATAACAATGATGATAATAAAATCTTTCCAAATTTGACCAACAACAACAACAACAACAACAACAACAACAATAATAATAATAATAATAATAATAATAATTACATTGATGACGATAGTACCGAGAAGAGATTTGACAACGACGAGGATGATGATGATGATAACAACAACGACGATCGTGACGTCATAAATGATGATAATGGTGATGGTGACGTCATTAACGACGATGATAACGATGATATCAATAATGATATCATCAACGACGATGATGATAATGAGGATGATGGCATAAACAATGGTGACATCGGTGATGATAGCGATGACGTAGCCGACGATAATGATGATACTAATCTAGATCCTGATATGGATCATATGTCAAATGACTATGATAATGATAATGATGATAATGATGATGATAATGATGGTGGTGACGGTTATGATAGTTATAATAATGATAATAATAATGGCGGTGGTGATGATGATACTGGAAATTTCGATAACCACGGTGAAGACAAAGAGGGTGATGAACTTGCAAATGATATAGGCAATCATTATAGCCGCCAAAATAATAGCAATAACTATTACAACAACAACAACAGCAGCAGCAATAGCAACAACAACAACATCAACAACAACAATATCACCACTGCCGTCAATAACATGAACAACAACAACATCAATAATAACAACAACAACAACGTTATCACCACTGCCAACAACAACATCAACAACAACAACATTATCACCACTGCCAACAACAACAACATCAACAACAACAACATCAACAACAGCAATATCACCACTGCCAACAATAACATCAACAACAACAACATCAACAACAACATTATCACCACTGCCAACAACAAAATCATCAACAACAACAACAACACGGGAAGTTTTATTGGTACTAATGTAAATCGCTTGGTTGCCCATGAGCAAATATATGTCCTGAACAACAACAACAAAAATAATAACAACAACAATATTAACAATGGAACCGTCAACACAGCAAACCACAACACCATCAATAATAATAATAATAATATTAATAATAATAATAATATTAATAATAATATTATTAATAATAATAATAATATTAATAATAATATTATTAATAATAATAAAAATAATAATAATAACGACAAAAATTTTTTGCACCGAAAGGTTATAGATAAATTCAATGAAAGTATGGAAAGCGATGAATATGATAACAATGACAACAACAACAACAACAATTACAATAATTATGATAATAACAGTAATAATAACAATAACGATGATGATGATGATGGTGATGATGATGACGATGATGATGTGACCAAAGATAATAACAAAAGTAATGAAAAACCTAGATATAACGAAGGGCCAAGAATAAAAAGTGAAGACGAAGAAGATGATGATGATAGCAGAGATACTGGTGATGATGATAATGATACTGCTGCTGCTGATAATGATAGCGGCCGGATTAAAAATGATGATGACGATGATGAAAAAGGTAATGGGAAAGTCCCAGGAGATAGCTGGAGCAATAAAGGTTTTGATGATGATGATGATGAAGAGAATGATAATGATGATAACGCTGATGGTGATGACGACGATGATGATGTTGATGATGGTAATGATGATGATAATATCGTGTGTGATAATGACGACGACGACGATGATGACGCTGGTGATAAGCAAACTTACTAAAATATATTGTGTTACGGGAGCAAGACAATGATTAATGTAGGAAAATCATTCGGCCTTGACTCTGTGTATGTGTGTTTGTTTGTGTTTGTTTGTGTTTGTTTGTGTGTAAATAAGTGTGTTTGCGTGTGCATATGTGTGTATGCGTGTGTATGTATGTGAGTGCATATGTGTATGTGTGTGTGCTAGCGTCTAATTGTTCGCTAGTGGATTTGTTGCAACATTTGTCTGGGATTGTGTATTTCTATTTTTGTATGTATGTCTATGTCTATGTCTCTAAGTGTGTGTGTTTATATACACAAAATAATTAAATTTTCTTATTTTTTTTAACCGAAAAAAAATTCTTAATTTAATCGTTAAGGAACAAGTTTTCAAAATTTTTAATAAATTGAACAATAGAAAGTTATCGAAACATACAACAAGCAAGCAAACAAACCAACAAACCAATCGACCAACCAACCAACAAACAAATGAACTAAATAACCAAGAAACAAACAAACGAAAAAACCAACTAACAAACAAACAAAACAAGCAAACATAAGTATTCCAAAAACTTAAATCCATTTTAAACATCGTACCACTTTTACACGTTTAGGACGACACTTCTAATCATCGTGATCTAGTTTAGAAGCTGAGTCATATTCTATCCCATTTTCTAGTTTGGAAGCTGAGTCATATTCTATCCCATTTTTTCTTTTATTATCTCTCTCTTTATCATCATCATCATCTCTGATACTCTCTCTTTGGGTTTCTCTCACTTCTTGCGTCGCCGCATTTTTATTTTTCCTCTTTCGCTTCTTAATGATCACTATAGCTCCTATGGTGGCGATTATTAATGCTAAATCTACAAGGCTGACTAATATATACAACAAATTTTCTTCAGCCCATGTTTTGAAGCTAACGATGACGCTATCTGTCGCCTTATTTTCAACTTCTGTAGTTGTTGGTGGTGTGGTTCTTGGTGGTGGCGGTGGTCTTGGTGGTGGTGGCGTTGTCACTACGTTGGTGGTCGTTTCTGCAGTCGCGATCGTTTGAATGGCAGTAATTCTGGATAGTTTAGCTATAGCAATTGCTGTTTTTGTGGTTGCTGTGGTTGTAGTTGTAGTGGATGTTGTGATAGTTGTTGTGGTAGTAGTAGTTGTAGAAGTAGAGGTTTCGGTACTATCACAAAAATTATCGTTAATTATGCAATCAGAGAAAACGAGAGCGGATTGGTAATGGCCTGTCTTGCAAACTTCGACAGGTAGCCTGCCCATCACAATTGCCTCATCAGCGCACCAGCAGTTGAAACCTGACTTCATCACAGACAACTTATCCAAGATTTTGCATTCTTTATTGCATTGTTCGTAATCGTTTGTCCACATTAATATACCCATTAAGTCTGCTTCTTGGTAGCAGCCATAGAACGGGGTCGATGCCAACACCAACTCGGTATCGTTCCATTCACTGCAGCTGATGGCGGTTGCATTTCCCTCTCGGATTTCTGAGCACCTCATCTTTCCACATTTTCCGTTATCAACGTCGCAACCAGCCTCATAGACTTCTAACTCGGCCACAGCTGTGCTTCCTAACCAAAACAGGTCGTCTGCCTGCTGGATTATGACGAACTTCGAAGGAAAAAAGCTTTCACATGTTACTGTAATCGTTATTCCCAATAGCGTACTTTCATTAGTTGCACGGCCACAAAGCTTCACATGACGTCTTATGTCGGTTCTAGAGTTTGTGTCGAACGTGACATTCAGTGAGACGACAAAACCATTCATTTCGTCACACTCCTTTTGACTCGCGCAGTATCTTTTATAAACTTTAACATAACCAACGCAAAATAACATCTCGAGTTCAACTGCAATCCAAGCGGCGATGTTATCATTGATCTGAGCGCCTTTGAAGCCATCGTATATGCCGTCAGTTAAATGAATTGCATCTAAAAGTCCATAATGTGAATGGTTGAGTGTTGAGCTAAGGTAGGATTTTCTTTTAAAGGCTAAGTTTAGCCTAAAAACTTCACACCCATCCATTTTATTTCTAGCCTGGCCATACGGGCAGACACATTCAATGTACGAGTAACCATTGACCACTGATTCAATGCATTTCAATGCTCCACAGTCTCCGTTATTGAAAGTGCAATCTCTTTCCATGCATGGCCTTTTACCGTCTTTCCATCCCTCCTTGCATCCGTACGTGCATGTCTCTGGAATGTCAAAAACCAAATTAATCCAACCCCTATCTCGGCAGCGAGCAAAAAGAGAGGTGCCCTTTTGGAACTCATATTTGAAAAGAGTCAGGTAGACCGCACTATCGTCTCGGCCACTTTTTTGGTGACAGCCGCAAATCTCGTTCTCATCGTGCGGACACCTCACATTGCATTCAAATACATCCGGCTTTAATGGAAATAGATTTTCCTTTATACATTCATTGCATACGCAGAAACCGTTAGAATGTATACAAAAACGAGAAAAGCCAAATTGTAAACAATAATATGCACACGTTTCTATAGATACAGAAGTAAACCGTGGAGAATCACGTTTGTAACCATCTGTGAAAAAGTAAGCAACATCGTGTAACAGCATTCGCCGATGTTTGTATACTGAATAAGTATCCATCGCACCGCACGCCCTGCCATCTGGGCAGCGGACGTGACACTGGGATGAAGCTACAACGGCATCCACTCTGTCGACGCAGAAGCAATCTCTTCCTTTCCTTAAGGCGATCATGTGAGTGCTTCCCAGGTCAGTGCAAGTTCTGGAACATTCTATAATGCTACTAACGACATGAGGTTGCGAATTATTGGAGCTGATGAATTTGAAACAGCCGATGTAGGCATCTGAAACGTTGAATTCTGCCAGTGTTACACTCATGTAACAGAGATGAATGGTTAAGATGTGATCAATCAACATTCTCAGAGATTCAATAATTTAATGCCATTATTTTTAATTTAAAGATATTTTAGGTAAATAAACAAACAAAACGATCATCTTGACGTCATAATTCATTACAAAAAATACTAAGTTTTTTAATACAAATGTACAGATTGAAAAAATAGACAAACTAGACAAGTAAATACATGTAGTAATAAAAGAATGAAGAATTCTCATCGTCATCCTTCCCTCCATGCTGTCTTCCGTAACCAACAAATTCATTCATGCAATGATAGACGTGATTCGAATCAGGACATCCTGTGCTTAAGTGCTTTGTGTGTGTGTGTATGTTTGTGTATGTGTGTTTGTGTGTGTACGTGTGTGTGTACGTGTGTGTGTACGTGTGTGTGTACGTGTAAGTCTGTGTGTGAATATGTTTGTCATAAAAAGCAATATAGATCATATCGTTATGGTCCTTGTAGATAGATGAATGCGATAAAGAAGCATAAGAAAAAATGAATACATAAATAAATATTATTTGTACGCATGCACACGTATATGTGTATGTGTGTGTATGTATATGTGTGTATGTATGTGTGTGTATGTGTAAAAATATACATACAAACATACATACGTACATACATACATACATACATACATACATACATACATACATACATACATACATACATACATACATACATACATACATACATACATACATACATACATACATACATACATACATACATACATACATACATACATACATACATACATACATACATACATACATACATACATACATACATACATACATACATACATACATACATACATACATACATACATACATACATACATACATACATACATACATACATACATACATACATACATACATGCATACATACATACATATTAGGTACATACATACAAGCGGGACCCACGTTGTGAGAGCCAAAGAGTTATTGATTTAGACGATCTTTCATTCATACTGTGAATGAATGATTAATATTTGTATGTTTATTCAATTGTATTATTTTATGTATATTTGTATGTTTGTTTGTATGTTTGTTTGTTTGGTTGTTTACTTGATCGTTTTTTTCTATATCTGTTCAATTTTTAGAATGTCTAATCATTTTTTTTGTTTGTTAATTCGTGTTTATTCTATTCGATTACTTGCTTGCTTGTTTGTTCACATTATTGTTGTTCTGTTGGTTTGTTTGTTTGCCTGTTTGTGTTTTTGTTTGCCTTTTTGTGTTTTTGTTTGTTTTTCTGTTTGTATGTTTGCATGTTTGCTTTTGTCAATTCAATAGTATTGTATATGGAAGCATTTGCCTTCTAGTTGCTATTTTCTTCTTTTTTTCGCCTTTTTGTCGTTGAGTTATTTTTAAAATTTTTTGTTTTACTTCTCATTCTCTCACTCACTCATTCATTCATTCACTCACACATCCATTTGTTCGTTTGTTCGTTCGATCGTCCTTCCTTAGTTGTTTGTCTGTTCGTTCGTTTGTTCACTGAATTTTTGAATACTTGGTTGATGTTGCATTTTGATTTTGTTACTATCATACAAAAAAAGAAAGAAGATAGGAAATAGAAAAATAGAGAGAGAAAGAGAGAGAGAGCAAAATAAAAGAATGAAGAAACAAAGACAAAAAAAAACAAATTTGATTTATCTAGCGGCCATTTTCTCTCTTTTAATTATTCATCGGTGTTGGTGGCAGCGCTGAAATTGGAGTCGGCATCAGTGGCTGTTGCAGCTTCTCTTGGAGAAAAAGAAAAAAATGTTTTTTTTGTGTTGTTATGTTTTGTTTTGTGTTTGGATTTTTATCATTTTCATTCGTTTTAATTAATACGATCGCTTCGTCTAAATCCATCTGCTATTTTACAGTTTTTTTTCCTTAAAATTGTCCACTATTTGTTCAATCATTCTGTCATTCATTCATTTCGTCATTTTTTTAGTTATTCATTTACCCACTCATTCATTCACTCACTTTTTTTTCATTCATTCATTCGTTCGTTCGTTTGTTCGTTTGTTCGTTCGTTCATTCTTCACTTATTCAATCATTCACTCATTCATTCATTCATTCCTCCATCCGTTTAATTCCACCTTGTCTCACTGTTCTTGACAATTCATCATTTTTGGCGTTCTGTTTGCTATTCGTTTCAGCTCATTTTTTTTCTTCTTTTATTCTCCTTCTTCTTCTCTTTTTTTTTCTTCTTTTCCTCCTCCTCCTCTTTTTTTCCTTCTTTTTCTTCTTCTTCTTCTTCTTCTTCTTCTTCTTCTTCTTCTTCTCTTCGCTTTCATTATGATCGTTATCAATATTGTTGTTGTAATTGTCTTGTCTTTTGTTTTGTTAGGTTTCTCTCTGAAAATGTAAACACATTTTATGTTTTGCGTATGTATGTACGTGTATGTGTATGTATGTGTGTATATATGTATATTTATGCATACATGTATGTATGTATGAGTGTGTGCGTGCGTGTGTGTATGCATGTGTGTGTGTGTGTGTATGTATTTTTTGTTGCCCGCTGGCGATCACATGTGAACCCCATGTTTTTGATTGTCAGATATTCATGTATGCGTTCTTCCTTTTGCCAATTGTTCTTCATTCATTCATTCATTCATTCATTCATTCATTCATTCATTCATTCACTCATTCATTCATTCACTCACTCACTCATCCATCCATCTATCCGTCCATTCATCCAGTAACTCGTAGCAGGAGTGGCGGTGGATACGTGATCTCCTGGGCACAGTACAACTACCATCCAGACAGTCGCAAGGCCATCATCGTCTTCGTCATTCTCATCACACTCCTTGTTGTCCTCATGTTCTTCGTTACCCTTTATAGTTTTAGGTTTTTATATGTTTGTTTGTTTGTGTGTGTGTGTGTTTGTTTGTGTGTTTTTTTGTTTGTTCGTTTGTTTGTTTGTTTGTGTGTTTATTTTGTTTGTTCGTTTGTGTGTTTGTTTGAGTGTGTGTGTGTGTGTTTGTTCGTTTGTGTGTTTGTTTGAGTGTGTGCGCGTGTGTGTGTTTGGTTGTTCGTTTATGTGTTTGTTTGTGTGTTTGGTTGTTTGTGTGTTTGGTTGTATGTATGTTTTATTATCTTTACTTATGCCATTCTTATAGCCCTTCAATTATTCTTATGTTGTTTGCCGCTCTTTAAAAATAATTTAAGTTTTGTACGTTTGTATGTGTATGTTTGTTTGACTGTTTACTTGTTTGTTTGTACGTGTTTTGGATATTTACTTTTGTTTGTTTGTTGTTGTTTTTTTTATACCTGTTTATGTTTTTCGTAAACGTTTGCGACTGGTGCTTCATTTTTGTTTCGTTTCCGCTGTTATCATTGCTATTTTTTTTTCTAGCAAGCGCAAAGAAAAAAATTGTTGTTTGTTTACATGGAAAAGTTATTTTTCCACTTTTTCTTCTTTGTCTCCCCTCCATTCTGAATTGACACATTTTTTGACGGGACGGCGTGTGACATTTGCATAAAAGCACTTTGACACGCGCACATTTATCAACACACGTACACACACACACACACACTTACGTACATACATACATACATACATACATACATACATACATACATACATACATACAAACATATAAACAATTACATTTATACAAACATACATACACATATATATGTGCATACATAAAAACATACGTACGTACATACACACCCACACACAAACACATATAAACTCATACATAAACACACATACAAACAAACATTCACATATTCATACGCACATACATACAAGCTTACATACATACATACATACATATACAAACAAAAACACTGTCCCACATATTTATCCACAGTATCACAAACATATAATCACAAACACACATACAAACAAACATACAAACACATACAAGCAAATATACAAACACATACAAGCAAATATACAACCACATGTAAACAAATATACAAACAAATACAATACACTTACATAGGCAAGTACTTAGCAGACCTTCCTTGCTGTTATTCTTCCTATATAAATCCTAACCAACTCGGAAAACATTAAAGGAAGAAGAAAAACACGGCGGGAAAGAAAACGAATGAGAACGAGAGAAGGAGAGAAGTAGAGAGAAAGAAAGAGAAAAGAATTATGGCAAACAAGACAAAGAGCGAGAGAGAGAGAGAAAGAGAGAAAGAGAGAGAGAAGGATTATGGCAAACAAGACAAAGAGAGAGAGAGAGAAAGAGAGAGGAAGTATTTGAAAGATGAAACGGTAAAATAATGCAAGGGTAAAAACACAAATAAGATGGAAATAGACCTGAAAAATTTATTCAAGTGAGAGATACACAGACATTCATTGTGAAGAGTGTACCTACAAGACCTCACACGCTGCAAGTCTTTTCACATTACTTTATTAAACTGCCCATTAACTAATCAAGAAATACCCCACTGACTTAAAACGGAAATAGCACACCGCCTCTCTCTTTTTCTCTCTCTTTCTCTCTCTCTCTTTCTCTCTTTCTCTCTCTCTCTCTTCCTTTTTTACACAGGCAAATTGTTGAAAAATCCAAACACATCGCTGATGTATTTTCTCTTTCTTCTACTTTTCTCTCACTCTCTTTCTTACGGTATTATTCTTTCTCTCTCTCTCTCTCTCTCTCTCTCTCTCTCTCTCTCTCTCTCTCTCTTACGCCATCACACTCTCTTTTTCTTTCTCTCTCCTTATCTCTTTTTCCACATAAATTTTCACAGGCAAACATTCATGAAACTCTTGAGGAAGCCGAACATACCGTTGATATCACTAAGAAAGCCGAGGATGAAGAAGTCGAGTGAAGCCAGCACCACCGAAGAATCAAACACACTGCTTTCGAATTTTCAAGTTTAATTATACTAATTATAATTGTGACTATAATAGTAAATAATAATAATATTGAAAACCATAATTAATGATTATGGTATATTGTCTTGCAGCTTTTCCACTTTTTAAATTTTAATCCTGGAAGGATATGCAAATGAGCTACCATCGGGTTTTCGAGCTTAATTATTATAATTTGTTGCACAATTAATATATCATAACATCAATTATTTTATTATATTATTATTATTATAAATAAAATTATTAATAATATTTGACTAACTAACTGTATTCAAACATCACGATACTGAATTCTATTCGATTTAATCATTATTACATAAATCTAAGGGCATGACAGGTGTATATACACACAAAATCACACGCATACACACAGACAGAAATACATACACACACACACACACACACACACACATACGTACACACAGACACATATAAACATACATACACACACATACACACACACAGACACATACACATACACAAACATATAGTTGATCTCGAGAATGAAATTTTGTGTATAAATTGAATTTTTCCCTCCATTGAATTTATTTAAAATGTAATGGTTTTGCGTGCCAATGATGATAACGACGACGATGACTTTACTGTTGACCGTGAAGCTGATGATAGTTTTTTTTTTACAAATTTTTATTGAAATTTTAGAAAAAAAATCTTCCTCTCCGAACTAACTCTAATACTTTTTATTGTCTGCTCCAAAATATAACTAACAACCACAACAACAACAATAATAATAATAAAAATAATAATTTAATAATAGTACTAATTAAATGTGAAGCCATTCCATTAACATATATAATTAAATTAATTAAAATGATAATAAGAATAATAATAACTCCACCATTCTTAAGCTATATAAGCAAAAAAATTAAACAAGAAATGTCTGCTATATAAAATAACACTAACAACAACAAAAACAACAATAATAATAACAATAATTATTATTCTTTTATTATTATTCTTAAAAATTCAAAATCACGAAAATAAGTTTCATTTAAATTTCTTCTGATACAGATAGAGATCGTCTTCAAAGGAAATACAAAACAAAAAAAGAATGCCAGCATGCCCGAGTGAATGAATGAATGAAGGAATGAATGAAGGAATGAATGAATGAATGAATGAATGAATGAATGAATGAATGAATGAATGAATGAATGAATGAATGAATGAATGAATGAATGAATGAATGAGCGATTGAATGAACGAACGAATAAGCGAGAAAAATAAATCGGATAATGACTTAATAAACTAAAAATTGCATTAAATAAACTAAAGACTTGAAGAAATGATGGAAAGATTGAAACAAAAAATGAACGACGGATTAATCAAAACTCAAGAATGGATGAATGAAGGATCGAACGAACGAAAGAACTGATTAATATATGGAAAAAAAAATGAATGAATAAAAGCATCCTGAGGAGGCAGATAGCGTGCCATTGCATATTTCACAATTTGTTCAAAATTTCTATTTGTTTGTGTGTGTGTTTGTTTGTTTGGGTGTGTGTGTGTGGTGGTGTGTGTGTGTGTACGCGTTCGCAAACTCAAACACATTCTAGTCATAAGTTTGAAAGGCATCTTACGAATTACCGATATGAATAATAATAATAATAATAATAATAATATAATAATAATAATTATAATAATTTACAATAACAATAAAAGTAACAATTATAAGATTACTGAAAATCATGAAAGCAGTAATGTTACTATAACAAAATCCAGATCAAATATTTTGTAAAGGGCATAGTATTATCTATACTATATATATATAAATATATAAATATATATATATATATATATATATATATATATATATATATATATGTGTGTGTGCGTGTGTGTGTGTGTGTTCATTTTATAATCTTTAGCAGTTCAACACTGTTACGGAGAAAAATGATGCAAATAATTTATTTCCTTTAAGATTGAATTTCGATTTACTATTGAAACGATTTCTACTGATGAAAAATATAATCGATCGATCAATCCTTAATAAATCAACCAGCCAATCAATCAACCAGTCAACCACCAATCGTTCATTCATTTATTCATTCATTAATTCATTCATTCATTCAACCCTCTAATTAATCAACAATAATTTGGGACTAGTGTGATAATTATTTAAGTTTCATGGGTGAGAAGATAATGGCCATGAACCAACCAGCCAACCAATTAATTAACCAATCAATCAACCAACCAACCAACTAACAAACCAAAAAATAAACCTACTTACCAACTAACCAACTATCCAACCAACCATTCAACCAATCATCACCTATTCAGTCAACCTACCAACCAACCAAACAATCAACTAATCAATCAACCAACCAATCAACCAACTATCCAACCAACCAGCCGATCAATCCTACACTCAATCACATAAGTGAAACTCTAGCCCAGTGTAGAAAGGATTTGAGATTTTTAACTGGCACATTGTGAACGTGAGCTTTCACTCTAAGATTCCTGTCATTGGTCAGTAGTACCACCTCCCTGTACAACCTTATCGGGTCGCCTTTGGGGGTGAAAAATTATGTAAGTAGGTCAAAGATCAGGTCAAGGTCATGAATAGTCATGAATTAGGTCATAAATAAATTAATAAATTACATGTACCGGTTATGGTATGTGATTAACAGGTGATTACACAATAAATTGTGAATAAATGTAAATAATGAATAAATTAAAGGTATAGATGAATAGGTAGAAAGGCGAAGCATATTGATGATGATTAATTATAACTAAAAAAAATGATTATAATATTATAATTAATTGAAATGAAATAATAATTATAATTACCTGGATTCTTGGGCATGTAGGATGAGGCCTTGTCGTTACAGTACCTCAGGCAGCATGACAATATGTGGTCGTCGTTGTTGAACTGCTCGTTGTTTCATTGATTCATTCATTGATTCATTCATTTATTCATTCATTAATCAACCAATTAATTAATTAATCAATCAATTAATCATACAATCAACCAATCGATCTATCAATCAACTAACCGACCAACCAATCAATCAATCAACCTATATACCCACCAACCAACCAACCAGCCAACCAACCAGCCAACCAACCAACCAGCCAACTAACCAACCAACCAGCCAGCCAGCCAACTAACCAACCAACCAACCAACTGACCTCGACATCTTCATCATCAGCCTCGCATCTGAAAATAATGGAATTTAGGACGCTGCCCTTCTTCGTGACAACTTTGAATCGACAGTCTCGACCTTCAAACTCCTGCTCTAAAAATAGAATGGCATCCTTGGCTCTGTCCTTGACACGATTGATGTCATTGGTCGGCTCCTTGACACGATTAATGCCATTGGTCGGCTCTTTGACCCGATTATTGCCATTTTTTGATCCCGTGACTTTGCCGTGTTTGGCTAGATAGTCTAATTCTTGGACAACTGTATTCATTTGAGAGAGAGAGAGAGAAAACAGATTATGAACACATACATACATTAACACATAGACAGGCATACACATAAATACATACATACATTCATACAAACACACGCGATGACGATGATGAAGATGATGATGACGTTGGTGATTAGCAAACATATAATGGATTGTGTTACAAGAGCAGCAAGACGATGATTAATTTAGGTAGAGCAATACATTTGACCTTGACTCTGTGTATGTGTGTTTGTGTGTGTTTGTCTGTTTGTTTGTGCGTGAATGAGTATGTTAGCGTGTGTATGTGTGTGTATGCATGTGTGTGTATGCATGTGTGTACGTAAATGTTCGTTAATGGATTTGTTTTAACGTTTGCATGGGTTTGTGTATGCGTATTTGTATACTATATATGTGTGTTTATGTCAGTCCGTGTGTGTGAGTGATGGTGTGTGTGCGCTTGTATATATCAATACATATCGTTATAACGGCGGGAATGATCAAATTGTAATTGATTGCAATATTTGTAATCTTTGGATTGTGAGAATTTCCGGTAGGCAGGGTTTACAATACAAGTCAGATTCACAACAGAAATGTCTGTTGATTTTTCAGCAGTTCTGATCTGCTATTTATACCAAAATTCAGCTTTACAATTCCATAAGAAGTCGTACCACTGTAGCCATGGCTTGCTAACTTAGGCGATACTCCTTTTTATTTCTATTCAGCCACAACCAAATCGAAGCTTGCTCTGCGCTACTGATAAATTTCTTCAGGCATGCTGTACCCATCCTACCTGACAGTTCCAACTCTTGAACAGTGCATACATCGGCGTTCTCACTGTTCCTCTTGCACCAGCCTCAACAGCGTAGAACCTGGTTTTGTATCCTCTCTTGTTTAAATCTTGAATCAGCTGTTCGCAATTTTTACATCGTGAGTATTGAGCGTGTTACCGTCGTACGGCACAGTTAGTTCAATAACGATAACTGAATTCGTATTTCAGATGCCACCACCATGCCAGCACGTGACCTCCACAGAGTTTGTCCAGAGAGAGAATTTGTCCACCAAAATTCCACCAAACCAAATTTGATTTTGTTAATAGCTGATCGTACATTTCTCTTATTAGAAAGGCCAAGCCCACAAGAATTAATATTCTTTTTTTGGTCTCCGAATCATTCATACCTTTTGTTTCGTTTGATTAAACAAAAATGATTTGATTTTTTTGTTTTTTTGATTTATTTGACACACACACACACACACACACACACACACACATATATATATATATGTATATATATATATTCATTCATTCATACATACAGACAGACAGAAAGACAAACGTATACATTCATATACAACAACAACAACACACGTTTAGACGGCATTTTCCCCGAGATCGGGGGTTGCCGTTTGGCTACCTATGATGAAACCGAAATACCCCTCGACTCCATCCACATCTGTCACTCGCCTCAGTATCACGCAACCCCGCTTTCACCCTGTCCTTCTCCACCTGCTCTCTCCATCCCAATCGCGGACGACCCCTTCCTACCACTCCTTCAACCTCGAACTCCAACGCTCGCCTAATCCCGACCCTTTCATCCCTTCTCAACACATGTCCATACCACCGCAATCTCGATCTCCTTATCAATGTCACAATGTCCTCATTCAGTCCCATCATTGACATCAGCTCTGTACTACTCCTCCTATCCTTCACTTTAACCCCACACATCATCCTCACCATAGCTCTTTCAGCCCTCTGCAGTACACTTTCCTCCTCTCTCCTCAACACCCAAGTTCACCAC